ATGGTTTTCTATCTCTTTGACTTATCGTTCTGCTGCCAACTCCGTAAATGTATTGTTTGGGTAAATAAGTCACGGTCCTCGGAATCTTGCGCACCACTAGATATTTTTTTCTCAAGACCCTCCCTCCTCTTTGACCACGTCTTTTGCCACCCTCTTACCCACACCCTCCCTGCCCTTCAACCCTCCTGATCCCAACCCCCAGCTCGGGTCCAAATCTTTGACTGTCCAGTGCCTTGGGACATCCTCCCGACGTGGAAGGTGCTGTTTAAACGTCATTTGTTGTAATATTTTTGAATAGTGTTTGCATGACTTATCAGTGGAACACTCGTAGAATCCATTTAATTAGGCAAATCATAAAATGTGTGCACTGCAGCAGTAAAAGTTCTTGAGGAAATCTTCAGAATCCATCTGCTTCTTGTCATTGTAATTGGTCTGTCATGAATGATCAAGGCTCTGTTCTTCAGTTTTCTGGGACTTAAAGGGTCTTTTGTTTCTGAAAGCATTTTTTTCTCCATTCAACAAATTTCATAACAATTGTAATTTGAGGAAATTATAGGAATACATAACTGAGAAATGTGAACCAGTTTGGAGAGATTGGGTAAATGTATTCAAAATTACATTTTAAACAATTTATTTTGAAGTAGTTGTTTATGTTGTATGGTGGATTCCTGTTCTGTGGATTTGTTACAATGAGTGCAAATCAAGATTGTGTACAACTGAATTTTGTATGTTTTATTTAAGAAAAAATAATAAGACACAATTGGAAAGTTTATCATAAGAAAATTCATCAGTTTCACATAAAATTTACAGTCAATTCACTTTACAGTATATTCTGTGAAGCGCTTTGAGACGTCTCATCGATGTGATTAGGCGCTGTATCAAATGCAAGGATTACTGTAATAGTTTCCCTTGTGGATCATCAGTTGATGCATCGAGAACATTCAAACCAGAATCACAAATTGAAGTTTTTTCCTCCTCTTATTTGATCGAGGCTCTCTGTTGGAATAATGGGCCATTCTTACTGTCATTAATTGCCCTTAAAGATGGTGGGTAGGTTTTAAATCCATATTTAGTGACCTTACCTGACCTTTTATACTGTCTTCAGCCACTCTGTGGAACTCCCATTCCCGAGTCTCTTTCCCTCACCCCTTCCGTCCCCTCCTTTAAGGTCTATCTCAAGATGTTCCCCTTTGGTCGTGCCTTTTGTCATCTTCCCCCAATCCCCTTGGACCTCACCCCTCCTGAATCCAACCTCCATCTCGGGTGCAAACCATTAACCGTCATGTGCCACAGGACGTCCTCCTGAATTCAACTATCAAAATGCAATTTGTTGTTCTTCCACTGGGTATCAGTTGTGATTTCTAAACTGATGTATAACAACAACAAATTACATTTGTATAGCGCCTTTCACATCAGGAGGACGTCCCACACAGAGTTGTTAAGTTGCTCTGCCCCAGAAAGCTGTAGAGGCAGAATTAATAGAGATCTTTAAAATAGTTGACCAATAATAATAATAATCCTTGCATTTAATATAGTGCCTTGTCACGTCTTTGAACCATCTCAAAATGCTTCAAAGAATATACTGTGGAGTCCTGTAGCTCAGTGGTTAGAGCACTCGCTTTGCAAGTGAGAGACCTGAGTTCAATTCCAGGCAGAGGGCGAAACCTTGGGCAAGTTTCCTTACTCCACACAGAGCCTAATAATAATCCCTCAAAAACCAAAAACAATAATAAATTGGTCATTTTCAATCTACGACTGTTTGTGGGACATTGCTGTGCGCAATTGGCTGCCGCGTTCGCCCACAAATATACAGTCAATTCGCTTTACAGTGTGTTCTGTGAAGCGCTTTGGGACGTCCTCCCGACGTGAAAAGCGCTATATCAAATGCAAGGATTATTATTATTACTGTAAAGTGAATTAACTGTGTATTTTGTGGGCAAAACCAATGCTGATATTGAGTTCATATTAGTTGGTATAAAGTGGTATGGTAAATCGGCAGGTCATTATAATTAAGAAAAACTTGTCAAAATCTAATAAACTGGTGGAGCAGGCTGTTGGGCTGAACGGCCTCTTGTTATACTACGGCATTTTATGTTCTCTACTGATTTTCCATTGAGAAACTGGTTTGATGGTAGCGTTTTCCCCATCTCCCAAGTGACTATAGTTTTAGCCTCAACAGCGGAAGTACAGTATTTCTTGCTTTGTGCATTAGATTCCACAGAAGAAAAGGATATTTTTGAAGTTTTATTTTTAGTTAAATTCATCTGGGCTGGAGAAGAAAATTCTCTGGTCAAAAATGATCTGTAGATTTGTTACTATGGCAGATGTGTTCGTGTCTATCCACCGCAGGTACTTTAATCAGCACAAATTGATTCATTGCCAGGTTTATGTCATGGTTGCGTGTAAGTTTTTTTTGAGCTTGCCATAATTCCCTTTGCAATTAAAATAATTGCACGTAAAACACATTTCACTGTATCATTAAAAAAAACTGCTAGAGGGGGTTTCTTAATCCTTCCTGTTTGAAGTAATTAGTCTTTCAAAAGTGCTATCTTATCTTCACTTTCTATAAGAATAAACTCCCCATTACAACTGTTAGTCCATTTGTCCCCCCGGCCCAACCACCCCCAACACACACCCACACACGCAGACTAGCAGTTGACTATTCTGGCTTGTATTCACCATGTTCCTGGGGTGAAATCCTGAATAATGTTCTCTCTTCAAGATGCTCTCACATTAATAGTAATGCTTCCTGTGTCTGTATTTTTCCTGATGTGTTTTGACTACACAGCACCAGTCCTCTTCGGCCAGAGCTGCAAAAAAAGTTAACTCGTGCATAGCTGTGTTCCTTAATTCATTCAGTTTAGTGTTTGCAAAACTCAGACATCTTTTTCAAGCACTATTTCTAAATTAGCTGGAAATGTAGCATATTAAGTAGCCCCGACTCGTGGAGTCCTGCAACATAGTGGTTAGAGCACTCGCCCCGAGCAGGATTGCTGGGCTGGGCAAAATGTTGGCCAAGTTTCCTTACTCTACACACCTCTGTTTACCTAGCACTAAGTAGGAACCTGTTTGTTGGTCGACTAGCAGATCGCTTTCCGGGAGGTAATAATTTTCACCGGGGAATCAAACCCAGGTCCTCTAGTTTGATCTTTTTTTCCTCAGTTGAGTTTGGGGTGTTAGGGGGCAACAAAGGTTAGGCAGTAGGAGCAATTTCCTTCCTCAGTGCTGATCGAAACAACCATTCAGCAGTCAATTCCAGCTCCACTGTTGGATTGTCACCTCTGAAAAAAACGGCAGGGTTTGTACAACTTGCATAACATTGGATTGTACCATTCTGATATCCTGTGTTGGATAATTAGTGGAACATGTGAGGAAAATGGAATATTTAGTTTTAATGAAACACAATCCTGTGTGTTATCAAGAGATTTGAAAATACCTTTTAAATATCTTGTCCTATTTTAATTGCCACTTCAGTGACTCATCATCAAGAAATCTTGTCAAACTGTTTGATTAGTAGCGATTGGATTCTCTGCCTTAATTGTATTGTGGATAAACAAACAATGTGGGTAATTGGATGTCATACAAAACATAAATTGGTTGCTGTGAGCTAAAAATTGTTCCAACAACAACTTGCACTTAAAGCAGCTGTCACGTAGGAGAACATCTCAAAGTGCTTTGCGAGGACGGAGTGCGAGCACGAACAGTGTGACTGATGGGGAATAGGCGGGAGGTGACAGAAGATGCAGTCACAGAGAGAGGTTTTTGGATAGCCTTTGGAAATAGGGAAGGAGCCAGGTAGAGGTATTTAGGAGAGTTCCAGAGAGTGGGGGAAGAGTGGCAGAAAGTGTACCCACTGGGAGGTAGGGGACATAAGGATGGGGTCATAAAGCAGGCCTGAGCTGGCAAGGTAGTGAGGCTGCAGGAGATCCTAGAGATTGGGTGCAGCAAGATGGTGGGAAGATTTGAGGATAAGAACCAGGATCTTAAAGTCATTCCAGAGAGGTATAGAAAACCATGGAGACTTGCAATGCTGGGGGTAGAGAGAATGTGTATATTTGAGAGAATATGTGTATTTGAATGTTTGTGTCTAAACACTTTGAGACGTCTCGATGACATGAGAAAGCGCTATATCAAATGCAATGATTATTAATATAATAATACTATCACAACTATACTGTCAGCCCTTCTCTTTTTTTTGCCCTCTCTCACAGTCTCTCTCTGTCCCTCTCTCTCTCCCCACCCCACCCCACCCCCACCAAGTTTGTCTCTGTCTCTTTTATTTCTCTCAGTCGCTTTTCCAGGGGTAATAATCCCTTCCAAAAAATTAATAATAATTTGGTCACTCAATCCACGACTGTTTGTGGGACGCTGCTGTGCGCAATTGACTACCGCGTTTTGCCCACAAAATATACATTCAATTCACTTTACAGTATATTCTGTAAAGCGCTTTGAGACGTCTCGAAGACGTATAGGCGCTGTATCAAATGTAAGGATTATTATCCAGGTTCGTTGCTGGACTGGGTGAAACCATGGTCAAGTTTCCTTACTCCATGTGCCTCTGTTTACCTACCAGTAAGTAGGAACCCGGTCGTTAGTTGATTGGCAGATCGCTATCTGGGGATAATGATCCCTTCAAAACAGACAAAACGAAAAAGAAATTTGGTCACTCAATGCACGACTGTTTGTGGGACACTGCTGTTCGCAATTGGCTGCTGCGTTTCGCCCACAAAACACAGTCATTAGACTTTATAGTATATTCTGTGAAGCACTTTGAGACGTCACAGCCTTATGCAAATAGGTGGACATGTGTTTTTTGGGCATACAAAACAAATTAAATTTATATAGCGCCTTTCACATTGGGAGGACGTGTGAGAAAGGTGGTTCTCTAGTTTAGATTAATTGGTTGGAATCATCTAACTGAAATCCCACTATGGTAATTTGAGGTGATAAATGCAGCTGCTTATGTGTGAATTGTAAAACTTCTCCCTATTAATTTTCAGAATGGAGCAGATGATATTAAACGACACAGATGGTTCAGATCTGTAGACTGGGAATCAGTGCCTCAAAGGAAATTGAAGGTGAGCTTCTAGCAGTTTCACGCATGATGCACACAAACATCCGAGACCCATTTGTGTTAAGTATGCTTTGTGGCTCTGTATTGTAAGTTGATTTGATTGGCGCTGCAGTGCTTTAGATTCTGGAGATCACTTCCAGGGTGGCCTAATGGATAAAATGCCTCGATGTGGTGTAGCATTAAGCCATACAGATCCGAAGGTCACAGGTGACATACCTGTGCTTTTTGTTTTGTCAGTTGGGTTTCTGACACATGTAAAAACTCTTGACCATGTTTAACAGTATCAAACCACACTGGGTTCCACGGATATAGGCCGTCTACACATGGAAATGTTCCTGTGTCTGGAATGGAATGCACATTCCTTCCCTATTACTAGAATACTACACTACGACACTGTCAGACTTTCTTTCCTTTCTCTCACACTCGGTCTCAATACCACCAAGTTTGTCTCTGTTTCTCTTGTTTCTTTTCAATTAGTTTTTTTTGGTCAGTTGGGCATCTGACAAATGCAGAAACCCATCACCCTAAAGAGTCTCCAAACCGAACTGAGAATTCCATGTATCCCGTCTACACACGGAGATTCCAGAGAAAGATTGTTGGAATGGAATGCGCTCTCCATTCCATTCCAACAATCCTGGAGGGATGCATCCCGCTTACCAAGAGTATTAGGCGCAGGTTGACAAGAGCCAAGGCTTGGGGGACCCCAGAGTGTGCGTTGGGGTAGCTGCTGGAGGTTAACCAGTTAAAACCACATGTCTTGCCATTCTGAGCAGTGTCTGGCCAAGCTTCCCACTATAAAGTTGTTTTCATTCTGGCTCCAAGGTGACATGCTTGGCAACAGAATCTCAGAACCCTGTGGTGGCCTCTAGTATGATTCCTGAGCCAGGAGAGTCTGCAGTATTCCAGGGCACTCACTGCTGATGACAGCACAGCCCGGCCTGGCTCGTTGGCAGGACCTGGAGATGCAGACCAGTCACTGGGAAAGAGATTATTCCCACTTAGCTCCTGTAAGCCAAAGCCCAGAGGGGTAAGCTGTGTTTTAGCTGGTTAATGCTAGCAGAACCCGAACTCTGGGGTAAACTCGGGAATTAGTTAAGGAGGTTGCTTCCACCATTGGTATTCATCCTAGACACAGGAATTTCCATGTGTAGGTGATGAACACCTACGTTTGAGGTTTGGATATCCCATTCCTTTGAGAGGACCATGGAATCCTGCGTGCTTTCATTGGTAACAAGTGGACAAGTGGAAAAGGCTTAAAGCACCGAAATTCTCACACTGACTCAGTGGCTTTAAAGCTGGTAAAGATGGAGAAATTGCCCTTTTCAATTATTCCATGAACTGCTTGTTTTTTGTGTTGAACTTCATGCCTTGCTTTCGAATACTTCTTGATTTTCCTTGGCAATCATTCTAACAGACCTCCATCTGGATTATTGAACAATAATAAACTTTGCATTTGACTCAATGACTTATCACGTTGTTGAGTTCTCAAAGCATTTCACAGAATATAATGTAAAGTGTAGTATTTTGTGGGTATTTTGTGGGCAAAGCGCAGCAGTCAGTTGCACTCAGCAATATCCCACAAATAGCCATGAAGTGAATGACCAATTTTATTTCAGAGATTGTTGGCCAGGATATTGGAAGAAACTCGTTTCTGTTTTCGAATAGTGCTGTGGAATCTTTAACATCCACCTGAACAGGCAGACAGGGACTTGGTTTAACATCTCATTCCAAGATCAGCACCTCTCAGTTAATCAGTAAATCACTTTAATGGCTGTTTGTGGGACCTTGGAGTGTACAAAATGGCTGTCATGGTTTCCTACTAAAAAAAATTGCTACACTTATTTATTGTACAGCAAGTTTGCTTCAGATATCATCTTTTTGGGGTGTGGGGGGAATAGTACAGGACATGTTTTATTTTGAGTACTTTGATACCTAAAGGTCCAAAAGATTACTGTGCAATTCAAACCGCTCAACGGGTTTCTCAAATGAGAGAAATTCAAGACGACAAATTTCTCTCAGCTCATTCAATCACTGTATCCAAGAGATTATTTAATTATGTTTAACCAGAAGGATGTCTGCTTTCATATTGTCATTGGATCTCAACAACCACGGATTCCATTTACACAGCGCCTATCACGTCAGGAGGACGTCCCAAGGCGCTGGACAGTCAGGGATTTGGACCTGAGCTGGTGGATGGAATCAGGAGGGATGGTGGGCAGGAAAGGTAGGGGTAGGAGGGTAGCTGAAGGCACGGTCGAAGAGGAGGGTCTTGAGATGGGCCTTGAAGGAGGCAAGGGAGGGGGCGAGGCGGAGAGACTGTTGGAGTTTCAGAGGATGGGGGCAGAGAGGCTGAAGGCCGGACCGCAGATGGTGGGGAGAGCTGGACGGGGACGTGGAGCAGACCAGAGCCCGCTCAGCAGAGGGAGCAGACAGGTTGATATGGGGGAGAGGACAGGTTGATATGGTCTCATTGAATCTCTGAACTTTCAAGGTTACAGCTCGAGTCTACAATGCCCCGCTTCAACCTTTCACTACACAAGGCTGTTTGCACAATTCTCGTGCGTGTTGGCTGTCTATTTTTGGATGCAGTGGTTGAATGCTAAATACTATCTAGATTAGTGGCTGATCAAAGCTCACTGTCAACTCCCTCTTCAGTGTCTGTACGGCAGATCCAAGATACATTAGAAGAGCTCAATTTCAACAACTCTATTGTTCCTGCTCCAGTTCCTGCTCACATCAGCCTAAACTGTCTTTGTAGCTGAAACTGAGCAGAGGGTATAAGGAGCATTTTGATAACAGCCTTGCATTCTGTTTTTGAGAGAAATTATCACTTGAGTATTGCCTGGTAAATGGCACTGACTGAGAGAGAGATCTCTCTCGATTCTTTAATTGGATCTTTCCTCAAGATCCTCTGAGCTTCTGGCGAAGTTTTTGTTGTGGAACAGTTATGTTCAGTGGTGCCCAATTGATCTCTCCTGTGATTTTGCAATCTCCAGTAAATGCCAGATAACTCAACCCTAGCTAAACATGTCACTACCACTTAAGTCCCCGGTCACATTTATTTACATATTAATAATAATAATAATCCTTGCATTTGATACAGCGCCTTATCATGACTTTAAGACGTCTCAAAGCGCTTCACAGAATACACTGTAAAGTGAATTGACTGTATATTTTGTGGGCAAAACGCGGCAGCCAATTGTGCACAGCAGCGTCCCACAAACAGTCGTGGATTGTGTGACCACATTATTAGTGATTATTACGCCAATTATTATCCGCCAATCGAATAACAACTGGTTTCCTGCTTAATACTAGGTAAACAGAGACTTGTGGAGTAAGAAAACTTGCCTAAGGTTTTGCCCTGACTGGGAATCCAACCGTTTAAAATTCAATACAATAACAATCCTTGCATTAAGGAACATTCTTACAGAAGAAAGGAACATTGAACTTCTATTCTAAAATGCACAGTTTTGTTTTACAGCCACCGTTAGTACCAAAGTTGTCCCATGATGGTGATACGTCAAACTTTGAATCCTACCCAGAAAACGAGTGGAAAAAGATTCCAGCTGTGTCAGCCAAAGATCTTGAAATTTTTCATGACTTTTAATGTTTGCTCCTGGACAAGGTAAAGTGCATGTTTTTCCCAATGCCGTTAAGGTTATTGTACTTTTCAGCTTTCGTCTTTTTCCCCATTACATTGTGGAGTCCTGTAGCTCAGTGGTTAGAGCACTCGCCTCGCGGGTGAGAGGACCCGGGTTCGATTCCTGGGCAGGGCAAAATGTTGGTGAAGCTTCCTTGCTCCACATGTTCCCACAAACAGTCATGGATTGAGTGACCACAGTATTATCATTATTATTATTACTGCTGGGCACAATTGGCTGCCACGTTTCGCTCACAAAATACACAATTCTCTTTACAGAGTATCCTGTGAAGCGCTTTGAGATGTCTCAAAGACGTGATAAAGCGCTATATCAAATGCAAGGATTATTATTATAAGCTTTTTGAGACGTCTAGAAGACGTGATAAAGAGTTATATCAGATGCAAGGATTATTACTATTCTTTCCCTGGACATCAAAATTATGGACTGCTGTATGTATAATCAGTTGCCACATCTACCTACAGATAACCATAATAATCCTTGCATTTCATATAGCACCTTATCACGTTGTTGAGACATCTTAAAGCGCTTCGCAGCATATATTGTAAAGTGAATTGACTGTATAATTTGTGGGCAAAACATATGTGATGTACTATATGTAAGCATTATTATTCTAACTTCTTATTTCTTTAACTTTTCCTCCTTCAATCTGTGAGTTTTTAAAAGTCGAGCTTACTTTAAGTTAAACTTCTCAATCTCACTGCTGTTTCAGCCAAGATAGTGTGGTTACATAGATGGCAGTGTGAACCATCTGTTATTTCAGTTTAAAGTAATCACTTTCTTTCCAAGGATATGTGATTGAAGGGGGTAAATTCAGAACAAATCTGCGGAAGCACTACTTCAGTGAGCGAGTAGTAAACTTATGGAACACAGGCTCCTTTGGGAGACAATCAAAGCAGAAAATGTTTCAAGAACAAATTAGATAGATTTCTGCTAGAAAATTATACCTGGGGATACAGTGTATAGTTTGGGACATGACATATCAAGCGAGTGCCAGGATGGTGGAAGGTAACTAGATGGACCTTACTCTTCTTTCGTCTGGCAAATTCTTATGTTCTTATGATATTGGTGAATTTAAAGAGGCTAATAAAGAAAAGCTGCGCTGAAAGGTGATGATTTAGAATTTTTTTTTAAATGTTTAATTTTTTTTCATATACTATTACTAAAACTACTAATTCTTGCACTTGATATAGCGTCTTAACAAAGCACTTCACAGAATATATTATAAACTGTAGTGACTGTATTTTGCGCTCAGCAGTGTCCCACAAACATTCGCGGCTGTTAATACAGACCCGTAGTTTAGCTCTTGTGTTTGGTTGGAACCCTATGTTGATTCTCTTGTATATATTACACTGCAGAATATATGTGTAGATGTGGTGAAAAGATATTGTAAGTATTGGGTGTGACTGGGCTTTAATTTTCTTGAATAGTTGGTTTGAATGCAAAAAGCAAAGCTTTGACTAGCAAATGGATTAATTAATTAATCTCTGGTGTTCCTTTTTGTAGATGTCAAATGTCAACACTGCTGTGAAGGATGTGACCAAGGGGGAGATGCTACATAAGAAGTATTGACCAGCTGACGTGGGTTTGTTTGTGTTGGTCCGCTCAGCTGACTCTGGCCTTCTGTTTGTCCCTCGTGCCCTCCGCTCCACCATCGGCGGCCGTAGTACCTTCAGCCTCTACACCCCGAAACTGGAGCTCTGTCCCTCAATCCCTCTGCCTCCCCACCTTCAAATCCCGCTTAAAGACCTTTGTTTTTGATCGTGCTTACGGTCACCTCGCCCCTCGCTCTCCCCAGGCTTGGTGTCACTGTCAAGAGCTCCGGGACGTTACACAGCGTGAAGCACTATGTAAATGCAAGTCGTTGTTGTTTTCTCTACGTGGCCTTTGCCTAGACGCTCTCGTTCAGAAAGCACATTCAAGGTCCTTGGTCTTGACAACGTTTGACTTCACAATCATTTGCTATGACTGAAAGATTACATAGAAATTTATCAACTGGATTATTTTTACATCAATGGCACAGTGCACATGATGTAAAATGAATGACTTGATCGTTTATAGAGATTATTGCATGTCTATTATGAAAACTATTTTTAATAACTGGAATCAGATTTTGCTTATCCCGAAGCCTATTTTTAGTGGGCGGTGAATCCAGATTATTTTATTAATATCAAATGGCTTTGAATTGTAAAAGCCCAAGGAATTATTTTTTTTAAAAAAAAGTTCCATATAGGAACGACATAAAAATAAGATCCTGTCACTTTATTTGTATATATTGATGTCAGTGAAATGATGGACCGTGCATATACAGAATTGTCTTGCTGATCTTTATTTTGAATAGTGTAGAGATTAGTTCAGAAAAATATTGTTTTTGTTTAAAGGGATCATCTGAAATACGAGCATCTTGCTTTTTTTACTTATTTAATCAAGTCTTTACAGTTGAGATAAAATTCAGATGCTCTTCAGTAACACACTTGCTCCTTGAGTCACGGTTCCTTTGCCATAAGAGTTGACCTCTTGTTTTTCAAGTCCTTGCTCTAAATTGTAATATTTCCCATTAGCAGAGTTACCATGACCAGGATTTCCACCTATGTTTGTGTGCATCTTTATGCCAATCCCTTGAAGGAGAGAACATTTTAGAATTGGATCAATTCTCCTGACCCGTATCTGGGCAGTTACTCTCGACCAGAGGTTCTGAAGCTATGGGGCTGGGCCTGGGGGGGCTGCCCGTTGTGTACCTCCCAACTGTCCCTGGCTTGACAGGAAAGGCCCTATGTACTAGGAAAGCCATTCCCCCGACAGCCAAACCCCATGCCAACACGTCCCACAAGAACAATCAATCCCTGTGACAACTGTGGGGGAGGAGGGTATCCAGTTTGGCTGACAGTGGACTGTAGGTCTGAATCAGGCCAGCAGTCAGACTGCAAGGAGGGAGGGGGAGGGCAGATCCTTACCATAACACAAAAGGTGCTTCAGGAAACAAAATTTGTACTTTTGACCCTCATACTCTTATAACTATATTGATCAAAACCCTCCAATGTATTACTCGTATTCTTGCAAAGTAGAGGATTTTCAGTTCATTGTGTGGTCTTTATAAACTATGGGGAGATGCAATATGGAGAGGGTCACTATGACAGAGTTTGAGAACCCCTGGTTTAGAAAGATGTATATCCTGGCCAAAACGTGGGGTAGGGAACCTGCGATGGTGGAGAGGAATGAAACAACCTGACAAAATGGATTGATGCTTTGGAGTGAGTGCTGGAGACCTCACTCATTGGTGAAACAAACCAATTCGTACAAATTTAGACAAAAAAAATGTAGAAATACAAATTAAATGTCTCAAAGGTTATTTGTCGTTGTAGAAGCAGTTAGTGAAGAGAATTCTATTTCATGATTTCTGTGTCATGAAGTAACTGCTATTGCAATAGGTCTACTTACATGTCCAACATCTGTTGAGTTGATTAAAAAGGCTGGTAGGGCAGTAATAAGTTTGAGTTACTATGGTGTTATGTTTGATCATCACTGTTTGCTTTGTAGGTGGTAGGTTAATCGCTTAAACTTGTCGTTTTTGTGTGAGATTTCCATTTTGAGGTTTTAACAGAATGCTGTTTTAGCACTCGGTATGTTCTTATTCTTAATTTCTCCCTTTGTCTGCATTCTAAACATTTTCTCACCTGCTGTTTTGATCACCTGGTGCAATAATATCATTCCTCAGACAAGGAGCAGTTGGTTGACCTGCTCCACACCTCTCTCAACATCCCTCCTTGTCTGACTCTTCTGGAGTTTTTAATATTGTGGGTCAGCTTTTTGTCTTTACCTTGTCTGGGAAGAGCGCCTGTATTGGAGGTCAGGAATTTGGGGGACGGAAGAGAAGCAATTTCCCCCTCACTTACTTAGAATGGAGAATATTCCTTCCTCACCCTGTGAAAAACCATAGCCTTTACCAACATGCTGATATACCCAAGATTTACCATAACGCCATCCAGATTTTCTGCAGCATTTGGTGAGGATTGACAGTGATTGCACTCTGACGAAAGAGAACCACACTCCAAAAACACCCGGAGGCAGATTGAATTGGAGTGATTACTAAACTGACGTGTCTTTCAAGGCCCGTCTCAAGTCAGTTTGTTCACTCTCCCACCCTCACCCTTCCTGATCCCAACTCCCAGCTCAGGTGCACATCCTTGACTGTCCAGCCATTTGGGACGTCTTCCTGACCTGAAAGGCGCTCTTCAAATTATTGTTGCTGGCAAGAGGAGCGTTTCACAATTTCCTGTTACAAATATTGTGATTGAGACCCATTGTTATGTGGTGTATGATATCTAGGAAAGCCGAGAAACCTTGCAAGCTTAAATAGAGATTTTTTTGTTTCGTTGTACAGTAATAACATTTAGTTCATGACTCATAAATGCAATAACTCCACTTGTAATGTTTTACAATCGCAAGCTATGCACAATTCCTGTAAAAGTCTATCCTGTATAATAATTCTTTTCACTCTTTCAAATTTCAGTATCAAATTCAAATTTCTTTATTAATGGCAAGTATTGCACTCTAAACAGGCTTAACATGTACTGATACTGTAAATACATTTCTAAATCGATTTCTGTACTGCAGAACATTGTACATTGACTATTGTTAAGTTTGCAGACCCCGGTTTGTATAAACATTGTAAAAAAACAGGAGAATACTATACATTAGAGGGGTGGTTAATTTGAGACAAAATTCTATTTATTACAATCACTGAGTATGCACAATCTAACTTATAAGCATTTCATATTGTGCAAAGCTCAAAATATATATTGCAAATGTAGGTTTTGAACACTTTTGGACACTTAAGATTATTGGTACAACTCGACAACTCACAACCTCCAGTCTAAGGAGTTGTACGCATTCTAGAGCTGTTTATACTGTATTTGCAATATAATCTGAACTGTACATACAGAAATCTGAATGTTTTTTGCTTACAAACCAATGTGTTTTATTCCAATGTACTAGTTCCTAATTGTTTTTCAAGAGGCAGTAATGTTTTTCTTTAAGACTAATGGAAACTGGTACCAGGTTATTACTTTAGTTACTGGTGCTCCATTTGTATTTATAAAAAGCATTAACAAAAGGCATTAACAATGCAGTCAAATTTGCATACTCGATGGATTTGTCACGGGTCTAAAGAAAATGTATATTTTGGGATTCTGATCTTCCCTTCCAAACCTCCTGCCTTGCACAGTCCGAACTCCAATTAAGAAAACAGGTGGAAGACTACAGGTGATGCTGTAGCCTTTGCTATTTATATGCTCGTGCAATTAATTAGGTGAGTTTGAGGGTCAAAATTAAAAGTCATTATCCATATAAAATTTGCCCTATTGAGAACTCCATCTCCGCCTGTTTAATACACTGTGCTCAATTGACTGCCCACAATATACAGTCACTCCACTTTACAGTATTTTCTGTGAAGCGCTTTGAGACGCCTCGAAGATGTGATGAGGCGCTAAATCAAATGCAAGGAATATTATTATTATACTCAGGGAAAATTCTAACCCCCAAAGATTCTTGAGCAAAACTTTCAGACTGTTTTTGTATCTTATTTCCGCTATGAATCCTCGCTTGGTAATCGACACAGAAACCTCACAGCAGCACATCCTGTGAGTGGACTGTTTGATTACCACATCTGTACCAATTGCAATCATAGAATATTACCAATTATAATAGCTTCCATTACTCTTCCAGTCAGAGTTTATTTTTCATTGAGTTAATTGATTAGGCCTCAACTGTGTTTGCTCAAAATTTGTCTGAAGTCTGACGTCCTTCCCCCAGTTTGGTGTCAGCTGAAACAAAGAGATGTGTATTTTGATTTTGTTTCTCTTCCTCCTATTTACTCGGCCCTGTGGACGGCAGTTTGTAAACCAAATACCCAAACAACCTTGTGGTTTTATCCTTAAGGTCATCATCTTAAATTCCAGGGTGTAAAATGTGGGAAAATTCTTCAATTCAATCTCAATTTCAGTCAGAGCCTTGGGACGTCCTCTCAACGTGAAACACACTACACAAAAGTAATTTGGAGAGAGTGTTCAAAAGGCTTTCAAATTGAGATTGAAATTGAAGAAATCATCTGAATTTTGCATGATCTTAAATTTTAGAATAATGCTTTAACCTTGAGAATTGTGGGCCTCAAATATACTGTATAAAGACCACAAGGAGTTTGGAGCCTCAGTTATTTATGTCCTGCCCAAATGAGGTGCTGTAGTTTTGGAACACATCTTGAAGGAGAGATAATATTCCCTCCAATTTTTTTTAAATTGATCACTGAATCCACGACTCTTTGTGGGACGCTGCTGTGCGCAATTGGCTGCCGCATTTCACCCGCAAAATAGTCAATTCACTTTACAGTGTATTCTGTGAAACGCTTTGAGACGTCTCAACAACGTGATAAGACGCTAAATCAAATGCAAGGATTATTTTTATAAGGAGAGGAACAATTATCACCCCCTTGATTTGTGTTTAAATACTGAAATTATGACTACAAAATAGATTTCTCAGCATTGTACAATCATTGTGGTTTATTCTTGAATCTGTATAGCCAAGCCACTGGGTTGCCTTTTGGATTGTTAAATATTTGTGGCATCTAATAAACAATTCTTTCTAATTGTGTTTTTTTCACTTACTAATGCGTGCCTTTTAATCATTGTTATTTTCTCAAACTTGAGTCATAGATGTGGAGTCCTGTAGAGTAATGGTTATAGCACTCGCCTCGCAA